CAGGCAAAGCTTCTCTGAAGACTTCCCAGTCAGCAGCCACAATGGTGCTGCGTTCTCGAAGAAGTAAGCCTGTTCTTGCCACCAGCTTTGCTTGTTGGAACACGTTAAGAAGAGAGTCATCTTAAACAATTTATTCTCCCCTTTAAACCTGTTTTCCCATCCGTCATGTGATACGTACAGTGGTTCAGAGTAAGTGAACAAATGTGACCTTTTAAAGGAGGCACAAAGCAAGGAACGCCCCTAACACTCAGCCCTGTGTCCTGGGTGTCCTTTACCGTTTAGCAAGTAGGTGTCTGCGGTCTGAGTCTGTCTTGTTTGTGCAGTTACTGAAGAGTTCACTCGTGCTGTATTCCTTTAAATCTCTCATTCTCCTGTGCTCTTGGCTGTTGTGTTTGCCCTTCAGTTCTAGTACTTCGTGGTCATTGACTGGATTTCTTGGTGCTTTTTCTATATTCCAGCATAGTTATTTAACTCATGTAAGTGAATAAAACTAATTTCTTTGGCTTTAGATTTAAGATGGCTTTGCACCAGCTTTGCATCCCCACTTGGGTTTTATTTAAACTGCTATTATGATCAGTTGACATTCCTTAAGCATGTGCCAGCTGGTTAATGGAATGAGTAGGAAGGCCTGAGGAAGCCAAACTAAGATGGGAAATTGGCTGCAGATAATACACATTGGAAATTGATTGTAGTTTGTGCCTGTGCCCATAAAACTGTCTGCTTTAATGATCTAGCTTTCTTGGTGTTCATTCCTTGAACTTGATATTCTAATATACATTTTTTTTTTTTACAAAGAAACCTGTAAAGTGTTTAAAGGAGCCAAGTCACAGTGTACTGAGAAGTAAATTTGTCTCAATTTTTAAATGTTTAAGTTCTGTGTGTATTTATATTCCTTATTTCCATTTCCTATAGCTTAATTGCAGTTTATATCTTGTTTCATGCACATTAACATGCTGTACATAACCTTTGATAACTTAAATATTTAGTGTCTTTGAGAACTATTTCCTTATCCAAAAGTTCTTTAGCAAGAGTTCCAGAGGGTACGATCATGGGGGACTTATCCAGCCTTTGCCCCTTTGCTTTGAAGGTGGGGATATGGTTTCCGGGTTAGAATATATGACTGCTAGAAATGGTTTTCCTCGGTTAATTAAACCTGCAAAGAAGCTTATGCTGGAGAATTAACAGGTGGGTAGTAGGGAATGCTCAACATTCTCAAACCAAAACAGGAAGCAGCAGTCCTCCTTCATGTCTGCATTTTTCACTGGTTTTCTGTGAATGAATACAAAAGCAGTGGAAGTTCTGTTAGGCTCCTTTCCCCCTTATTCATTTTATTTATTTGCCTTTTAGTGTTACAACAGTTTTTCTAGGAAGAAACTGTGGATGCTTATGGAAGAAACAGTGTGGTAAAGACCAGAGGGTACATAGCCTTAAAAACATGGGTTGGTGTAGCAGGCATTTGGCCCAGCAGACTTGAGTTCTCCCCCACTGTGACTTGGGACCAGCTTCCTGCTAACTCAAACCCTACAAGGCAGCAGTGGTGGCTCAGGTGCTTGCATTCCCTCCACATTATGGGGGAGCTGAATGGAGTTCCCAGCTCCTGGCTTAGGTCTCACCCCGGGGAGTGAACCAGCAAAAGGGAACCCTCTGCCTGACTCTGTGCCTCTCAAATAATTCATCTTTTGAAAAGAAGTGGTTGAGTGTTTTTCCTTTGTTCTTCCCTTTCTGTTCCCTGATTTGTGGTGTTACTTTAGACAAATTAGTCACTTCTCTCATCTTGAACAAGTGCTAATAGCCATGGAATTATTTCAGAAAGGATATTTCCAGAGCTTAAATCTCTATAACGTCATTTGCTGTTGATAAACCACTAACAGCCGTTCGATTAATCTGGCTATGTCCCAAGCACAGAAAGCGGACAGTGCGTTCTGGTTCTAGGTTCAGCTACAGCTCTGCACGTTCTCCAACGGGACGCACTGGCTGTGTCTGTCCCCACCCACTCTGCCTCTCCTGGAAGGATGCTTGATCTCTGGGAAATCTGTTTCACCTTGGGCAGTCTTTCTCCTACAAGTACCTTCTTTTCTTGTTGTTTGTGCTTCTAACTCAGAAGGCTTCCTTCCTTGTGTTAGGTAAAGTTAATAACAGTGCTGGAGACAGTTTCAAGTGAAATCGAAACTAAGAATCAGCATCCAGTGCCTTCAGGGCCTTTGGGAGCTTCTGCAGATGCACATCATTAGGACTCTCTTCTGGTCCGAATAGGTTCTTGTATTCTGGCCCAGAGAGGTAGACAGACATTTCAGCACTGCTTCATGTAAAAATGCATCCTAGTTTTTTTCTCCTGGATACATATTTTGTTCGTAGGACAAACTAACCAAACAATTTTGTTGGTGATTTTTAATCATTCCCTTTGAGGCAAGCACATGATGGCTTTAAGTATGATTAGTCTGTTTTTACTTAGAAACTACCATATTATTTTGTGGGAGGGAAAGGAATATTTAGACTGTCTGTGCCCTTTAACTTTTTTTACTTAAAATATCTATAAAACAGGGCCCAGCACGGTAGCCTAGCAGCTAAAGTCCTCACCTTGCACACGCTGGGATCCCATATGCACTCCAGTCCTAATCCCGGTGGTCCTGCTTTCCATCCAGCTCGCTGCTTGTGGCCTGGGAAGGCAGTCGAGCATGGCCCAGCGCCTTGGGACCCTGCACCCACGTGGGTGACCCAGAAGAAGTTCTTGGCTCCTGGCTTTGGATCGGCTTTGTTTCATCTGTGGCAGCCACTTAGGGAGTGAATCAACAGGAGGAAGATCTTCCTCTCTTCTCTCCTCCTCTCTGTATATCTGACTTTCCAATAAAAATAAATCTTGAAAAATTTGTAAAACACAATGTTTTATAGTACAAGAAAGGAAAAACATCTTCAGGATCTACTGTGTGAGGCAAAGTCTCCAGATGCTGTCAGCAGAGCACAGCGTTGTTTTAAAGAACTGAAAGAAGGATACTAGCAGTCATCAGATCCATGTGTCTGTGGTATCCTAAGGCTGGCTGTGAAACGTGGTCTGCTGGAGTGAGCCCAGGGCCAAGAAGGTGCACGCTGCGGTAGACGGACAAGCGCCTTACTGCTTCATCGAGCCAGCCAACAGGCTCTCCCAGGAGGGGCCTGAAGCTGTCCAAATTGCAAAGACAATTTTCAAGAGCTCAGTAACAGGGTATAAATCTATATGTGTTATAAAAAAAGCAAGCAGATATATTTGTTGAAGGTCAAGAAAGTAGTGGAATAGTCAGAAAATATCAGTAATGTGCAGCAACTTACACATAGTAATGTTGTAGAATATTACTGATAATAAGCTTTCTGGATTTCTTTTACAGCTGTTTAAAAAAACTGCAGATTAAGATGCCTGTTGGGCTGCTAGCCTGGGTCTGAGTCCTGGCTCTGTTCCCCCATTCCAGCTGCCTGGGAAGGAGACACTCAGAGGCAGCAGGTGGTAGTTGAGTCCCTGCTAGCCATGTGGGAGACCTGGAATAGACTCCCCAACTCTTGTCCTCAGGCTGATGAAACAAATGGGGGAAAAAAATTGCACCTAAACTCATCTTAACCATTTTGATAAAATCCCTCCAGATGTTTTTCATACAATGTATACATTAAATCAATTTAAAGTAAGATTTCTCTGTATGTGCTGTTTTGTAACAAGCTCTAAGTTCTAAATATATTATGAACGTCTTTCTGTCCAAGCATTCATCTTCATTTTGACTATTTTGTAATCTTACACTTTTGTGGATAGGCAAGGATTTAGCTAACCAATCTTCTATTAGTAATCACTTAAAAGTTCTGTAATCTAATTGTTTTTTTTTAAAGATTTATTTTTATTGGAAAGGTGGATATAAAGAGAGGAGAGACAGAGAGGAAGATCTTCTGTTCTATGATTCACTCCCCAAGTGAGTACAACAGCCAATGCTATGCCGATCTGAAGCCAGGAGCTTCTTCCGGGTCTCCCACACGGGTGCAGGATCCCAAAGCTTTGGGCCGTCCTCCACTGCTTTCCCGGGCCACAGGCAGGGAGCTGGATGGGAAGCAGGGCCACCGGGATTAGAACCGGTGCCCATATGGGATCCCGGGCATGCAAGTCGAGGACCTTAACCACTGCGCCGTCGCCCCGGGCCCTGTAATCTAATTGTTAACAGGTTGTTTAATGAGCATCCTTCTACATATAACTTTGAGTACTCAAATATTTTGTTAAGATAAAGTATAATTGGGGAGTCAACAGACATTATTTTTAGTTGATATTTCTTTGAAAAATAGTGGAATTGTACATTTTAAATATAGTCTGTTCGCTTTTTAAGATGTCCTAAAGGAGCATCTTGGGGAGGAAATGTTTGAATTGCATTTCGAAAGTTCACAATTTAGAATGTGGCATTCCTGTTTTTTATCTGGTGGGGACTGGCAGTACCAACCACAAGGCAAGTTAGGAAGCAGAGAAAGAAGTTGGGTGAATGTGGCTTAAAGAATCAAGCATCTCAAGAGCTACCTTCTGAGGACAAGTCCCCGGTGACCTAAAGACCTGCAGCCAGGACCACCTCTCCGAGACTAGATCAAATCTCTACCCTTTATTAATTTACAACAGAAATGGAAGTTTAAGCAGTTGCATGAGTTCAGTCTTGTTCAGTACATAACACATTTGGCCATTCATGTCTTCTATTGTTTTTCCACTTAAAAATGAAATAGGAGTCATATGTGAATATTAAGGATATATGATTTAATGGTCTCAAATTGTACATTTTTCTATATTGTCCTTATTTTTTGTTTCATTTCCTTTTCTGTGGTTATTCTCGTCATATAAAGTTTATTATTACATTTTGTGTTCAAAACTTTGAAGCAGTTAAAAAAAAACTTGCCCCATAATGATGTTTTGAAATTCACTCCCTTTCCCAAGACCTTGTATCTAGAGTGAGGTGATTTTCAGGAATTTAAATGTGGTGAAGCCTTTCAAATCTCTTCCTTTTTCCCATCAGGAAAGCAATAGAAGAACTTCTTAAGGAAGCAAAACGTGGAAAAACTAGAGCAGAAACAATGGGACCCATGGGTTGGTAAGTTGTTTAAACTTGAACATTAAGTATAAACCTTGCTGGAGTAGAAAATATGTGAATTCTTAGCAGCTGGAGGGTGTAAAATGTCAGCCGCAAAGGAGACCAGCTACACACAGGTCAGTGTGCAGTAAGGACATGGCTGAGGAGCTCAGCTAGCGTGGAGAGGTAGACGAGGGACTGAGTATGGAGAATGTTGGGTTTAGCATCGCTCTGGTTCACAGACACCATCAGACCTAAAGACCTCTGTGTAAGAGCAGTAGTTTATTTGTATTTAGGAGTTTCTGGTTTTTTTGTAGTCCTTAGATAAAGTTTTATTTTAGAAATTTGATTATATAGTTTTACTACGTAGTTCAGCATGTACAACTGAAGTTTACTTTTTCTGTTACACAGAAAGTAGGGCTTGCTAATATTTAGTAAATAATAGAGAGGCTAATGCTTTGTTATAATGGGTTAAGCCACGGTCTGCAGTGCTGGCATTTCTTATAGATTCTGGTTCAAGTCCTGGATGCTCCACTTTCAGTTCTGTCCCCTGCTAATGTGCCTGGGAAAGCAGTGGAGGCCCAGCTGCTTAGGTCCCTGCATCTACACGGGAGACCCGGAAGAAGCTCCTGGATACTGCTTCTGCATGCCCCAGCTCCAGCCATTGTGACCATTTGAGAAGGTGAACCAATAGATCAAAGACTTTCTCTCTTTAACTCCAGCCTAGTTTTTTGTTTGTTTGTTTTTGTTTTTTAAAGATTTCTTTATTTTTATTGGAAAGGCAGATATACAAAGAGGAGGAGAGACAGAGAGGAAGATCTTCTGTCTGATGGTTCACTCCCCAAGCAGCCACAATGGCTGGAGCTGAGCCAATCCGAAGCCACGAACCTAGAGCCTCTTCCCTGTCTCCCATGCAGGTGCAGGGTCCCAAGGCCTTGGCCATCCTCGACTGCTTTCCCAGGCCACAGGCAGGGAGCTGGATGGGAAGTGGAGCTGCCAGGACTAGACCCAGACCCATATGGGATCCCGGCGCATGCAAAGCTAGGACTTTAGCCACTACTATGCTGTTGTGCCGGGCCCTCCACCTTAGTTTTAAAAAATAACTATGAAAGAAATACTTAACCTTAAAAACTAATTTTACCATTTTTTCCAGTACTCTAGTAATTATATTTACATTCCACAAATACGGTGGGTTTTCAAACAGTTCATGGAAAGTGCAGTATTACTGCATGGTGCTCTTCACATTTTTATGCGTCTTATGCAACTTATCTTTTAATTCTTTTTTCCACAGACTTCTTGTAGTACCCTTCTGTAATGATTTTAGATGTGTGTGTGTGTACGTGTACCTTATAATTAAATAGTGAATCAGGATTAGTTTACTACTATACACACATTAGAATGATGAAAACTATTTTAAATAGTACTGAAAAAATAAAAATGAGGATATGGAACAATTAGAATCCATATGTTGTTGATGGAAAAATGCTAAATCCTACAACCTCTTTGAAAAGTGACAATTTCTTGTAAATATAGACTCACCATTCATAATGCTCCTTTTTACAAATTAGAATTCAAAACTTAAATCCACAACCAAAAGAAAAATCTGGGCAGTAATGTTCATAGCAGATATTTCCAGAATAGCACTAAACTGGGAACAACCGAAATGCCTATCAGTTGGTGAATGGTTAAACAAATAGTAGTTATGTCATTGTAAGTGTGGTGCTGAAATAACAATCGAAGGGAGCCAGACCCAAAACAGTGCACACTGTATGATCCACAAATCGGAGACTGTAGGCACAGAAAGCAGGTCATTGGCTTGCCAAGATCTGGGGTGACTGCAGGATGTGCTGCATCTTGACTGCTGTGGTAGCCACCTGACTTCATAAGTTTGTCAAAGCCCACGAAAGTACTCACTTAAAGGATATATTTTATTCTGCATAAATTATGCCTCAGCAAAACTGATTTGGGAATAACATCATTTTACTACCCCTAATGGTAGATTGAATCTAGGTAAAAAACATCAATGGCTGCTCCATCCATAAGGTGACAGGTTGATAGGAAATGTTGTGATAAATGTGCCAGCTGACTGAATACACCAATCTTTGTATCACAGAAAGATGCACTAAGATCCTTGAAACATCCTTGTGAAAGAAAAAGTCAGCCTGAATCTAATCAAGTTCCCAATTAGAATAATTAACTGCAAGAAATAAAGGACAGAACAATGTAGCAAATGACATTATAGGGCCAAAGCCACAAAGATAGTAAGTGTAAGGAATTCCACAGAACAAGAACATAATGCAGTTCTTCAGCAGGTGAATTACAGGAAGAAAATAAAATATATCGTATGAATTAATAAATTTGAAGCACATCAAGCAAAATGTGTAGCTTGTTTGGATCTGCATCCACACTAACATAAGAAGACATGAAATATGTTTTTAGATGTGATATGGTATTAATGCTAGTTTTTAGAAATTCATTCTAATGTGTTTATAAATGAAAATATTTCATGAGACTAAATAATACAGTGTAATTGAGTTAGTCTGAAGTAACATACAGAATCATCTTCGATTTAGTAAAATACGTACCTCATGGAAGGGTGCTTGTGAAAATTGAGTGAGATACTATGTATGGAAAACATGTGGCCTGGTTCCTAGCATTCAATTCAAAAATAATAGCTAATTCATCCCTTTACAGAATAGAAGTGTCTCTACCAATGTAAATCAGATTTATATGAACTTAATTAGAGATTTGGTGCTAAGGTTTTGGGTATAAGGCAAGATTAGCAATACTCATTAATATGATCTAATGATACTTCATATGAAAAAATCAGAATGGACCCAAACCATGACTAAAGATGTTCTGACGGTGAGTAAGACAGTAACCATCATGGCCTTTGCTACGTGAGGAGCGTGCCAGGGGACCGTTTGTTTCTAGGCAGCTGTGCAGATAGAAATCCTTTGTACCAACAGCCTTAGTAGCACTTATTAGCTTAGTGCAACTTTATGGTGGTACAGGAGCGAGTGTGTTCTGCAACCCCCCCCCCCCCGGGAAGACTTGTGGAGTGGGACAAGAAGGGAGGAGTCAGGGGGAGGAGTTGTTTTTTGGGTGTCATCCCAGTTAGGTTGGTAGTTAAGCAAAGTTCCTGTGGATCCAGTCCCCTTCCATTTGTCCAGATTTCCCAACCATAGGGCATAACTGTTTCTACATGGCTTAATGTAGTAGTATACATTTCAGCTAGCACAAAAGACAAAGAAAAAGGGACATACTTCTTCCCTTTATGAATATTTGCCAGAGCTGTCTGTACCATTTCCATGTATACTGGGTTGGCCAGAATTTAGTCTCCTGTATATCTACCTGCTAGGCCAGAACACTGTAGCTATAGAAGGGGGAACACTAACAGCCTCTTTCCCGATTGTCAAGGGAGTAAACTATAGCAGGCAGTGTCACATACTTCAAATTTATGATAAGAAAGAGATCCTGTGGGGAAGCAGGATGTGAAGTTTACGATCACCTTCGCTTATGAAATGAGGCTTTCTCTTGGCATGGTGGTTGTTTTTCTACTATAACTATGGTTAATATGCATTTTGGTCTTGCAGTCCTTACATTCTAAAAATTCTGAAGACATTTAGTTTATATGAGTTTTAACCAGCAGTGCAAGTATTAGAACTGAGCAAGTATTTAGTAATTCATTAAAGTTAAAATTGATAGGACCTGGCACAATGGCTCAGTTGTCTGATCCTCCCCCTTGCAAGTGCAACATCCTACATGGGCAGTGATTATGTTCTGTCTGCTCCATTTCCCATCCAGCTCCCTGCTTGTGGCCTGGGAAGGCAGCGGAGGATGGCTGGAGGTCTTGAAACTGTACCCAAATGAAAAACCTGGCTTCAGAGCAGTTCAGCTCTGGCTCATTCCAACCATTGCAGCCATTTAGAGAGTGAACCAGGGATGGAGGATGTTTCTCTCAGTCTCTCCTCCTCTCTGTATATCTGACTTTCCAATAAAAAAATAATAAAAATAAATCTTTAAAAAAAAAAGTAAATCAACCATATGGGAAACCTATTGAATGAAAAATAAAAAGCTCATCTATATTTTCCTATTTTTACATTTTTGACTTGTCCTTTTTTGAAAGCTTATTTATTTGAAGACAGAGTGACAGAGATGTCTTCCATCCATTGGTTCACTCCCCAAATGGCTGCAACAACCAGATCTGGGCCAGGCCAGTGCCAGGAATGCTGAACCCCACCTGGCCCTCCAACATGGGTGGCAAGGATCCAAGTGCTTAAGCCCTCGTTCTCTCTTCCGCTCTCTTCCTAGGCACAGTCACAGGAAACCAAATCACAAACAATAACCAGGACTCAAACTGGCACTCTGCTTTGGAATGCAAGCAGTGTCTTACCGGGATAAACCACAATGCCAGCTCCCTTGTCCTTTTTGTGTGTGTGTGTGTTGTTCTGGAAGCAAGAATCTCTGGGTGCTTGGTGACTCGGGTACCTGACTTTTTCCTTCCCAGCTCTTGTTCCAGCATATCCCTCTTAAGATATACAGGCCTTGAAAAGAGTTCTGGAAAAACTGCTGGCTTGCCTGACAACCTACTTCTAAGACAACACAATTTCCATTTATTTTCAAATAAATTGTATAAATAGAAACTTTTAGCCACTAGCTTCCAATTTATCTGCTATTTAGAATCAAATGGAGAACTTCAAATAATAAATAAATTTGGAATCAACTGGAAAACTTTGGATAGGTAGGTAGGTAGATAAATACAAAACCAATGCCTGTGTCCTACCATCAATGATTATAGAATGTGGCCTGGGCTTGGGAGTTTTAGAAAGATACCGAGGTGCTTGATTCTTAAAGTGCCCACAGTTTTAAAAGCATTTTATTAATTTCTGTTAATTGAGAAGAATGGCGCTGATCTATTCTGCAGACCCTAGAGCAGCTCTGTACTTTGGCCTGGCCAGATGACTCCGACAGTATCGAAGTAACCTCACCAGATGGCCAGGTGTCCTCAGACCCTTTGT